CTAAACCGGGAACCCGATTGGAGCTCCGTCTTCTCCTACAAGTCTCTCGTGCCTAGGAGGTCGTGTGTGCCAAGTTTCGTGCTAAACCGACGCTGTTTGGTGAATTTGGGGCATTAACTCCTCGAATTCAAGTTTCTTAAGGAACTAGTTTGCCTAAAGTGAAATCCGGCTCTAACTCCCAAACCGGGAACCCGATTCGAGCCCTGCCTTCTCCCACAAGTCTCTCGTGCCTAGGAGGTCGTGCGTGCCAAGTTTCATTCTAAACCGACGCCGTTTGGTGATTTTGGGGCATTAACTCCTCGAATTCAAGTTTCTTAAGGAACTAGTTTGCCTAAAGTGAAATCCGGCTCTAACTCCCAAATCGGGAACCCGATTCGAGCCCCGTCTTCTCCCACAAGTCTCTCGTGCCTAGGTGGTCGTATGTGCCAAGTTTCGTGCTAAATCCGGCTCTAACTAGTCCCGTCTTCTCCCACAAGTCTCTTAACTTAGAATGTAAAGAATGCAAAGATACATTTTAGCTTAGAATGCAAAGATACATTTTATACCTGATCTTCTGGTGGTGGTGTATATGGATTCTTGTCTTCTATAGATTCCCTAAATGCCCGGTGGCCACTCGATGCATCAGGAACCTATGTTAGTCAATGCATAATGTGTTAATCATATTCGAATTTTATACATAATCTTGAGTGAAAATTGAACTATCAAACAATTTAATTTATATGGAACCTGTCTGTTGGGATCCACACTCGCCCTTTGTGACACAAGGGCCATTATCTCAGCTCTCATCTGCTGCAAATGTGTAGAGAACTCTGCTCGCAGCTCCTCCTTCAACTCATCCCTTAGCTCTGCACGAACCTGCTGCGTGATCTGATCAATAGTCGATGGCTGGGGTGTTGACTGTGATGGCCTAGCACCATCTTTATACATTGCTCTCCGAGGCACAATTCTCCCGTATGTGCGACAATATCCATGTCTGTCATGACCTATCAACTCATGAAAAATGGCATTCCTAGCCTCGAAAGTCCGACCATCCTCAAGTAGCATAGAGAGTTGACGATTAAACTCATCCTGTATTGAATAAGACATACAAGTATATGCCAAATTAAGATGATTGACACACAAAAAATAAACTTTAAATACAATCAAAGGTGTTTGGAAACTACCAAGGTCTGGATAACCTCTGGGTCATCTGCTCTACGTGTCATAAGCCAAACATTCATCTTATCAGTAGACTCCCCCTTACTGGTCATCTAAATTTTTTTTTAGAAATATGAAAATTAGAATCCAAATAATTTGCAAATATACAATGTTTATTTATATAGAAAAATAAAACAATAAAATGTAAACCTCATGCCGTATCTGAGAGAAAGTAGTACGCCCTGTGGTATGAGCTATGCCGTGAGCTCGCCGATTTTTAGCGTTCCTACTTGCAATTTTCTATAACAGGTTCAACAAATGTAAGTATGTAAATATAGTTTGTATGTTTACATATCATAAATATAACGTAATTGTATACCTCAGCATCGGAAGTACGCCAATACTTCACAAATTGTTCCCATTGGCTTGGTACAATGTTCATAGGAACATCATCCTTCAGATTAGGATCAGAGCTTCTAGGCTTGAAATATTTAGCCTTAAGCTTGTTCTTGTGATCCTTCCATATGCTGTTGCAGTTTTTCATGCAGATTGGCTTGTACTCCTCTGGACATATATTCAAATTGTCCTATAAAACACAATTTCAAAGTTTAAATAATAACAACACAATTTTGGAATTCGAATTTGTGGACAAAAATATACTTTTACCTTCACATCCTTCCAGATAGCATCAACAATATCATCAGGCACATTGTTCCAGTCAAGAAAAGTAAGAGGAACAATGTTACCATTCCGCACAATAATGCCAAGTTGAGTAGTTAACTTGGCCACGTTATCCCCTATGGGCAGTAATTTCCATCAAATTGTATGTCCAGCTTTTTACCAGTACCTCACTCTTTAATGCCCTTGGCACATCCTCTACCACGCCCAGTCGAGGTTGATGAAGAACTAACATGACTTGCGATATACAATAATAATAAACAATATGCAATGGTAATAAACAAATGCAAATTTGAATAATGTGAATACAAATCATATCAAATAAACCTGAGGTGGGCTGTGAAGAAGTCGAAGGGTCTGCAAAATACAATGAGAATAAACAAGTTATATATAATGAGCATAAATAAATGTATGTGTAAATAATTTTCATACAAATCAAAGCAAATTTATATACCTACGGATGGCTCATAAGCTGATGATGATAGCTGCTGTGGTGCCACTGATGGTGGACGCACCGATGGTAGGCGTGGAGGCTGAGTACATGGTAGCTGCTATGGTGCCACTGATGGTGGTCGATACGGTGGTACCAATGGCCCCTCAGATGGTGGTCGCACTAATGGCCTCTCCGATGCTGGCCGATGTGATGCCTCCTCTGATGGTGGTGCTACTGATGTCCTGTTATGTAGCACATCAGACATCATGCGTCGGGGATGATCAGGCTTCCTCTCCCTTCCCATAATAATCTGCAAGCAATATAACATCAATTGACATTAGAAACATAGACAATGGTTTGTCATCAACTATAATATGATATTAATTGAACTAATACAATTACAAAGACAAAGTAAATTAAGAAATTGATGATTAACTACAACCTTGGCCTTAATTGAATTACTAATGTTGATTAAATATCAGCCTATTTGAACATCAACCGTTTCCCCTTCTGCGGCTTCCCTCACCCAACCAACATGGTCTAAGGCTATTTATGTATGCATGGATAATTACTTGCTAAATTAACAACTGTCATGATTATTGAATCCCGGTGGTGCAACCTGAATCAAAACTATCAAGCATACTAGAAGCATTTCTAGCATTGTAACAACCCTCATACTGTTTGCCGATTAATGACTGATAGATTACCGATAAATACTGATTACCGTTAAACTGAGCTGATTAAAGTACTGAACTGACTGACTGAAAACTGGAACTGGATTGAATGAGTCTATCTATTTAATTGTGCATCTATCTGTTTGATTGATTATTTGATCTGTTCGTGTTTTTATGTTTAAACTGCTAATTGAAGGCCTTATCGGCGGCCGGACCGGGAATTGATTGATGTTTCATGATCATCATGATTTATGTGATTTTATGGTGTAATTATCAAAAAACTGAATAGGTGTGATTAAATTAGATTTAAATGAGTTAAATTGCAATGGTTGCCGTAATTACACAAATGCCACTCTAGTGGCCCACTACTTGGACCTTCTTGAGACTTGATTTCACTTAGGAGCAACATTTGATCAGCCTTTTCCTTGAGTTCCACCGAGTAGAGAGAGAGATGAGAGCTTTAAGAGAGAATTGAGTTCATGTTTGTGAATTGGCTTGAGAGACTTGAAGGAAATTGAAGTGTATTTGCATATTTGAGCTCCCTCACTCCTAATTCTACACCTAAGGTAGATCATTCATCTTCTTAATTGTGTCTTTGAGTTGTTCTTGCATGGTTCATGTCTAATTGTAGAGCTAAGTCATGAATTGGTTCATTAATGGTGAATTGAAGCTCACTTCATGCATGCATGTTTGAATTAATGAGTTTTCGAGTTGAATTCATGGTAAAATGGTGCATGCATGTTCATAATTTTGTAATGGTCCATGTTTTCAACTTGTTTTGGGATCAAGTGGCTCCTTAGAACATCAAATTGGAGCTTCAAAATGATTTGAATTCATGCATGTTTGCATGTTCATATTGTTCATGAAATTGGTTTGAAATTGAGTTTGAATTAAACACCCTTGGGCTTTGATTTCTCAAAATTGAGCTTTGAACCGTGTTATTCTATATGTTTACAAGTGTTTTCTGGAAATTCAGCCCAAGAGGATCGGTTTTGATGCTTTTGAACCTGGGTTTTGGCTTGGAGGTGCAATCTGGAATTCTCAGATTTTGCACTTCCGCTCGAGCGGGGGAATCTGAGCATCCAGTATCTCTGCACTGTTTTACAGTCCGCTCGAGCGGAGGATTGGGAGCTCGAGCGGAGTCATGTGTCTCAAGCTCGAGCGGGCGTCGAGCGTCCGTCGAGCGGAGATTTCATCCATCCAGTACTTTTACAGTACGCTCGAGCGGGAATCTATTTTTCTGAAAATTCCGAAACTGTTTTCTGATCACATCTTTGCATCCTCATCCCATTCTAGGCATTCTTAGGCCTAGTTTAAGGCATATTGTTGAGGATATAGATGTAGAACACACCGAGGCATTATGGATTAAATTATGATATTTCCCAACTGTGTAGCTTAGTGTGTGTTCAACCTGTGAACTGTGTAGGGTTGGTGACTGGGGAGACACGTTCTAGCACACTGTAGCCCGAACACTGTGAGTAACAATTGTGTAAAGATATGTTCAACTGAGAATGTTTTCTGACTGTTTAACGAAACTGTTTTCTGAAGTAGTTATTGTTAATTGTTGAATGTATGTCCTATATTCCGAAATGTATTGTGGCATCCTTAGCAACTGTTGTATTCTGTTACTGCTACTGTTACAGAGATCTCTGTCGGTTCCCTCGCGGAACCACTACTGTTTACTGACTGATGGCCATCATTACTGTCTGGTCTTTAAGACCTACTGTTTACTGCTATGCTAATGGATGTACCACATATGACTGAATAACTGTTCTGACTGAAAGACTGAAGTATTGTTTAATGAACTGTTTTCATTACTGTAAGGACATTTCATTCTTAACCTCTTTACGCATTATGTTATTCACTGGGCTTTAGCTCACTGTTTATATATATATATATATATATAGGTGCTCAGCCACCAGATCGGAGCTAGGAGCGCGGGTTAGACTCCAGTTTTGTCAAGCCAGCCTTTGTGCCTCACTGCGAGGTTCCGAGTCGCCATGCTATGGCTTTGGGGTGCTCTGTTTTCTCCCCCCTCGTCACTGTTTGACTACTGTATAGACTGTCAGCTGCTAACTGTACTGTTACCAAGGGATTAGGTCCCTGTACTGTGTAACTGTAAATTTTGTATAGACTGTACTGCTTGTATATGTGAATGCATGAAAAATCTTTTTGGCATACAGACTGTCACAGCTCAATGGACATTATTTATTTACTGTATTGGCTTCCGCCAGGCCTTGTACTCTGTTTTACTGTGTTACTGTTTTGCGGGCCTTTGGTAATTTCGGATTACTGGCCGGTTACGGTGCTAAACCCATAGGGCCGGGTTTGGGTCGTGACACATGCATCCCACGTCTCATACGTGAAGCCCAAATCTGTTGTGACCTTTTGAGCTTTGTAATATGAGTTCAGGAGTTTCACACCCAACGGGAACGCCTCATTCAATAACTCAAGCAACATGTCAACAAACTTGTCTGTCCACAGATTAAGCACTTTCAAATGTAAAAGTCGAACAATGAATGACAAAGATGTGAACTTCTGACAACCCGGATACAATTCACTTTGTGCATCTTGAAGAAGTTTGAAATACTTTGCAGTCTCTGTATTTGGACCGAGCTAGGGTTCAGATGCATAGGGATTAGGCCCCTGTGGTTCATTACCCTCAATACTTGTACCGACATGTGGATTTCCCATAGCCCCTTGTATCATTCCAATCATATCATCTCCAATGTCTAAATTAGCTAATGTTTCATTCTCTCGATTACTATGCAGAGATATGTAAGATTCCCCATGATTAATCCAATGTTTGTATTTTTTAAAAAAACCATTCAAAATCAGATGCTCACGTACACCCTCTCGTACAAAATAGTATCGGTTCTCGCACTTCCTACACGGACAACTGATCATCGATCCTTCAACTCTATTAGTGTAGGCAAACACAAGGAATTCATCAATCCCATTAATGTATTCGCTCGACATCCTATTTTGCAAATCAATCAAACTCTTATCCATCATCTGTACACATCCACAAAAATATCTCATCAAAGTAACTTTAAATATAATACCTTTAACTTAAACCTATTAAAAAAAATACTCAAAACTCATCTATTTAAGTTTGTCTAAAAAATACTCAAAACTCATCTATGCTCTTTAACTCAAACCTATTCAAAATTAAATTATACTCTTTTTTTTTTATTACCCAAAATCAAGAGATCCTTTTAGCAAACTCAAAACTCATCTATGCTCCGTCACCCATTGGCAACCCCTCTATCCACCGTCACCAGTCACCACTTTCAACAACTAAGACGAACAAAATTTTCAAATTTTTTAGAAGAAAAACAAAAATGAAAACCAAAATACAATCTTTTTTTTTTATTTTTAATTAAAATGAAGTAAAAAACAATCAGGTGTAGAGTTATAAAAGAAAACCAGAGGGCAGAGGCTTAAGCCCTCCTGGAGTTTGCAGATATCAAGTTTGAAAACCAAAATATAATCAAATACATATATAGGACTATATAAATTCTCAGAACGACTCATCCCTCTCCAATCAAGATTTCATGGTCAGGTTAACGTGCCTATTTTGCTATAAAAAAAACAAACAGACACAGATATTTATTAAATAATATTAAAAAGAAGGTTTAATAAAGGTAAATGAATACATATATGTTTGGTCTCAGTTTCGGTTTTTCACTATTGTTTGGTCTCAGTCTCGGTTCTTCACCAAGCCATTCAATATGAGACACCACCCAAAGAAACCACAGTGTGAGAGTTGAGACCAAACATAATTGAAAACACACAAAAATAATAAATAAATCAAGCACAAATATATAGCAAGATTTATTTAATTTTCTCACATCACTAAAAATATAAGCAAGATTTACACCAAAATTAGTCTAGTTAATGGGGTCTGGAAGGAGTAAACTATAGTCTCAGAGGGGTGTATTCAATGGAAATGAGGGGTAATATGATAAAAATAAATCATTAAATAACTTATTTGAGTGTTCCCAAACCATGCCTTAATGCATATTGAATGCCTCTTTATCAAAATAATTTTAATTATGAAAGTTGGAGATATTGTTATAAATTTTAAATAAAATTTACAGTATTAAAAAAATAAAATTAGATTATGAGTAATTATAAAGGGCCTCAACTAGATATTTCAAAGTCATTTTTTTATTAAAAAAATAATAATAGTAAATAAATAAATTTACAAATAGAAAAAAAAAATTATATTCATGTATATTTTTTTTTAATTTTTTTTTTGAACAGGTAATACATACATATATATATATATATACAGAGAGAGAGAGAGAGAGAGAGAGAGAGCATGCCTGAGTAGCTGTCGTCGTCGAAGCACCACCGCCAGCCCTTCGCTGTTCGTCGCCGCCACACCACCGCACCACCGCTAGCCCTTCACCGTTTGTCGCCCGTAGCTCGTTTGGGGATTTTGGGGGAAAGAAATTTTGTTTCAAACAATTTTAGGGATTTCGATCCAACTGAGCGGCAAGATGAAAGGGAAGAGGGGGGGGAAATTTTTTTTTTACTTTTTGCGACGGGACGGTTTACACCGTCGCAAATGATACATAATTATTAATAAACTGACGTCGTTTTGGTAATCCTTTTTTTGCGACGGACATTTGCCGTCGCAAATTGTCGAGTATTTGCGACAGCAAACTTATGCCGTCTCAAACATTTTTTTTTTGGCGACGGTTCAACACGCCGTCGCTAATACTTCTGCATTTTAATACCTGCCCGTGCAGTTTTATTACTGACGGTTAAACGCCGTCGCTAAAACTATTTTTTGCGACGGTTAATTTTGCCGTCGCAAAAGACCATCTTTTGCGACGGGGAACGCGCCGTCGCAAATGCTTCCGTGTTTTTTGCCCTCTTTTCTTGTAGTGCCTCCCTTTAATTAAGTTTGACAAAAATATAATTAATCTTACAAATTTAATAGAATTACACTAACAACCTCAGTTTTAGTAAGATTGAAATCATCAAAACTATTGCAGATAGTGGATGAATACATAACTAAACAAAGGTAAAAATATATTTTAGTAGAAAATACACGACTTCACTTTTTCATCTATACGACTTACAAATTATAAATGAAAAAAAAAGAAGCTAAATGTTTTATGAATTAAAAAATTAGTGTAATTATATTAAAAGTACAAGATTAACTGTATTTTTTTCAAATCTTGCAAAAGTAAGGGTAATTTATGAAAAAATGAAGAGGCATTGTGGTTAAGGCTTAGGGTTTAAGCCCCAAGGTCACAAGTTCAATTCTTTTCCCCTTGGGCTAATCTCCTGAGTGATGTACAGTTGGTTAGGAGGTTGGATCTTAAGTTGTCTAATTAGCACTTGGTGTGGGTTCAATGCTCCCCCGCTGTGCGAGTCTTGACTCAACCGGAGCTCGTTTTGGGAGGTCGGGACAAGTTCGCAGGTTATAGTCTCCTCGCTCGGAATGGCTAACAGGACACCCTGGTGATCTCTGTAAGGGGCACTGCCTTGGACCTGCGGGAGGGTAGAGAGGATTTTCCTGTAACAAAAAAAAAAAAAAATTATGAAAAGAAAAAATTGTGAACTAAAGTGAGAGCGTTCTTTAATAGTACCTTGTGCGCTACAGTTGGAATATATCATATTATATATATGAATTAAAATTCTTGGCTAGAGTTTTTCAAAAACTCTTTTTAAAAACTTCTACTTTCTTATTTTTTGTATTTTTTTGTTTTTATCGAATTTTTTTAATATTTTAAGCAATTGTTTTTACTTTTTAGACATACCTAACATAAATATACCTAAAAAGTAAAAAAATTGTGAAAGAAACCTTTTAAAAATTCACTAAATACAAAAAATATAAAAAAAAAAAAATACAAGAATTCCGTACATATTTTGTATTTTTATGTATTTATTAATTTTTTAAAATATTTTTTCATAAATTTTTTACTTTTTAGATACATCTAAGTAAGGTCCATCTAAAAAAGTAAAAAAATGTTTAAAATTTTAAAAATATTCACTAAAAACAAAAAAATTAAAAAATTAAAAAATTAAAAAATACAATTTTTAAAAAACTTAATTCAAAAAACTAAAGCAGCCACACGGATAGAAACGAGAAAAGTCTCTCAATTCTGTCAAAAAAATTCTCAGACAGATAGCACGCGTAAAAGCTTGAATTATTATAAATGAGGCAATTTTATTATTAATTTAGATTTTTTTCAACATGTGCAATTATTTTTATTATTGGAAAAACAGTACGATTTGAACATGTAATCAATTATCTGATGTCATACCATATTGAATTATTGAATTGTTGATCACTTGCTATTCAAAAACTTAAATTATTTGACAAAAATAAGTCACTTTATAGTTTATATTCTAAAAAGGAGTTGGATTAGGATGCTGTCTAGGCCGAGGGATAAATGAGTCTCCAAAAATGAACGATAAATATATTTCTAAAAATAATTAAATAATTTAATTTTTTTTATGACAAACGTGATAAATTAAATATGCTATAATTATCAAATTAATCCTTTTTTTTTTTTTATTATGAATGATATACACGAAATATTTTACAAAATAAATGATTTGGATTATCAAAACAGGACTTGTGGTAGAAAGGCTACAAAGGAGCTGAGTCGAGCTGAGTTTTTGAGTATTCAAACTTTTTATGAAGAATTAGTCAAGCTCGAACCAAGCTCAAATTGAGCTTAAATAATCGAGCTTGAGCTTAGCTCGTCAAATATTTGATGAACTTGAACTCGGCTTGAGCTCGCTCGATTACATAAACTAGCCAAGCTCAAGATCGAGCTTGAAAAGAAAAATTAACTTAAATTAATTTACTTACTAAGATTAAAAAAAATACAAAATTACGAGTAAAATATACAATAATTTTTACATTAATTATAATTCCATCAAACAAATATGTAAATTTACACAAATACCAAACATAAATAGAAAAATAAAATAGATTATTGAAAATTTATTTGATATATCGAGCCGACCTTAGGGTTACTTGAGCTCAGCTCGATTAATAAATGAGCCTAAAAATAAACCTAGAACTCGTTCATTTAGTAAACGAGCCGAACTCAAATGAGCTTTAAACAAGCCGAGCTCGAGCTGTTTATGAACAGTTTGGTTCGTTTGCAGCCTTACTCATAGGTCTAGACAACCTTCTCCGGTCCATAAAAAAGTCCAGTCCTACACTTTAAAGTATTAAGTTGACTATTATAGTAGGCTATTTTAGTTTTTGACTATTTTAGTATGTTAAAATTTTTGTGTTTGGAAAGATAGTTAGATTTTTTTATAGTACAATGTGATATTTATGAGAGAAAATTTAAAATGATTACGAGTTTAATATGATATTTTATCTTATTAACTATTTTAACATATTTTGTCTTTTCGTAAATTTTAACCCAAAAACAGCTAAAATCCAACTTGTCAAATAGGGCCATTGTCTACGTTGAATTCTAAAAGACAAAACTACAACACACAAGTTGTGAGTAGTTGATCTTTCAACTACCTAACAAATGCAAGTCAGCATCCTCTATTCATAAAATTTTTTTACTACGTCATTGATTAATTTAAAACTCCACATGAATAATACCAGAGAAAAGGTAGGGATCATGAAAAAACTTTCATGAAAATGATCATGAAAGATTTATGACTCTTGGATTATCTTGATTAGTGTGTGGTGCTTTATTTCAAGTGTAATCCAAAGGTCATAAATCTTTCATGATCATTTTTATGAAAATTTTTTCATGATACCTAGCATTGCTCATAATACCACGTAACAATTATCCTTTATAAACTTCATAACTCGAGATGTCATGCCTCCTGCTAGAATATTGTGTATCCTTCTTTGCTGTATTCTTCTATTCGAGCTAGCAATGTCTTGTCCTTGTAGCAACCAACCAGTGGCCAGTGGTGATGAGCACATTGTGATCCCAGTGGCTTCAGATGTGGATGATGAATGGCTAGAATCCATAATGAATGAAGGAGAGTCCTCATCCTCGCATAAGAAGTTACCCAAGGTCCCCGAGATGCTTCAGCAGACGGAATCCAACAAGAAATGCTACGAACCAGAGGTGGTTTCTATCGGTCCCTACCACCATAACAAAGCCAAGCTCAAATCATTTGAGAAACTAAAAGTTCGATTCACAAAAGAGTATGTCAATAGTTATAAGCCTAAAACCTCAGCAACTGCACTATATAAGCAGGTTGCAGATGTCGCTGGTGAGGCAAGAAACTGCTATGCTGAGGACGCGACAAAAAGCTTCGATGACAGAGACTTCACTCTGATGATGTTCCTCGATGGTTGCTTCATCCTCCAATATATTCACTACATGAATGACGAAGAAGCGGAAGCCAAAATGAAGATGAAGAATCACGAGAAAGCTTTCGTGCAACGTGACTTGTTCTTGCTCGAGAATCAGCTTCCTTTCAAAGTCCTCCAGGCACTGATGACCATGAACTCGGAATTTGCTGGAGAGAAAGGCTTGGAGTTGATTAACAAGTTCATTCAAAACACGAGGCCAAGTCCTCCTCTTCATAATTCATTTTGGGAATCGGTGGAAAATTGCATTGCTAGCATTACCAACAGGTTATCCTTCCAAAAAAACATTACCAACAGGCACAAAGAAGAATCCAAAAAATCAAATTCACAATTAGTCGAACCCGCTCATCTTCTAGAACTCAAGCACAGGCAACTTATTGAACCCAAAGCTTTCAGTACTCCTTGCACTGAAAACAGAGGAGGAGGCAACACCAACCTTCTCAAAAAATCCTCTACTAAACGAGAAAGAAATAATTGGTACTCGTATCGCTCAGTGCAGGAGCTCAAGACCGCGGGGATCAACTTCAGGCCTAACAAAAAAGGCAGATTTGTTACTGGTGTAAGGTATGAACCTCTCTTCATTAAAGCAATTTTAAGGCTTCCTCCAATGACAATTGATGATTCAACCCAGTCTTTACTACTAAACTTGGTAGCCTATGAGATGTCTCCTGATAGTCCCAATGACTTTGAAGTCACCTCATTTATATGGTTTATGGATACACTGATTGATCATGCTGATGATGTGAAGGAGCTGAGAAAGAATGGAATACTTCTAAACTACCTCGGTAGCGACGAAGAGGTGGCTGGTCTTTTCAATGAGATAGCCAAGAACTTAGTGCCTAACCCTGATGCCTATAAAGATGTTATAGACCAAATCGAAAAGCACTATAAGAACAAGGTGAGACTGTGGATGACTGAATGGTTGCATACCCATTTTGACACCCCTTGGACTATTCTTGCTTTCCTTGGAGCTATTTTAGCAATTGTCTTGAGCTTCATTCAGACTTATATTGCTATCAATCCTAGCACAAATAGCACAAATTCGGGAAAATGAGTGACTATTCCAACCTCGCCAGTTCGTTTTCGTCAAGGATTTTTGAATAAATAAGATGCTGCAGGTCTGTTAGGTAGCATCTGTGAATGTTCAATTTCAGACCCGGATTGTGTCCCCCTGGACTACTTAATACTTGTTTCTTGGTGATGTTTTGTGAATGTTTTGGTTTGCTCCTGTTGATTGTGTTGCGATTTTGTCTTTGGTGAGCATGAAATAAAATAAGAGTTGAGCCAAAAAAAAAAAAAAAAGAAAAAGATAAAAAGGAAGAAAGAAAGAGACATTTGATTTTTTTTCTTTGGTGAGGATGAATGTTTGCTTCAGTTTGGTTGTGGTTGTTGTCTTGGAAAGGAAGTGGCATTTGGTTTGTTGTGTTAAATATGTTGAAGGTATAAAAATAATAAATTTTTCATCTTTTTAATAATTTAAGTTTCATACCTTCATGATAGTAACAAAATGCTGAATATCATAGTCCAATTAGCCAATGGCGGCATTCAATGCCCCACATGAAATTTGTGCAAAGGGTAAATTATACTAACTTCCATTAAGATTATTGACAATTATAAGAATCTTTCTCACTGTCATGAAATAATATTGGCCAACTTCACTTTTTCATTTCAAAAATTTTTTTTTTTTCATTATTAACTATCAATGGTAACAAAAATGCTGAATTCAACATGCTAATTAATTCCCCTGATCAAAAATAAAATAAAATTAAACATGCTAATTTATTGCATTTCCCAATTTGCCCTTATTTTATGTTCAATGCCCTTAAAATAAAATAAAAAAAGAAAACAAAAATACACTCTCATTTTAAAGTTGAATAATCCATATCACTTCTCTTTTGTTCATGTTAAGACCAAACAGATACTAGTTTTTTATGTATTAATAGTATTAGATGGACCCGATCTTAAAAAAAAAATAGTGTTATTTCTCATTCTCCAAATGGATGAATGATCTTCTAACCTGTTTTGTGATTTTTCAAAAATATCACATTAACAATTCTAATTGATACTTTAGAACTACCTAATCATTGATTTTTCAAAAATGTCACATTAAACAATTCTAATTGATACTTTAGAACTACCTAATCATTGTTCCACATGCATCTGGCGTCTTTAAGAAAGAATCCCAAATTTAGCGTAATTCATTCTTAAAAAAAAATTCAAGGGTTGGCTGAGTGATAAAAATTTGAGAATAAAATTTAAAATTTTGAATTCGAATCACTTAAAGGGGCCACTAGAGGCTTACTCAGTTATTAATTTCAAGATTCCGGAATTACTCAAGATGTACGCAAGTTGGAATAAATATCCAAAAAAGAAAAAAAAAAAAACTTTCTTAAATACAAAAGCAAAGTTCAGACCATGGCAGAAAGAACTTGTTCTTAGACTACACTTTTGGGGGAGAATAAAGCACAACCTATGCTTGCTTTGGCAAAAATATTGGAAGCCTTGAAACATAATTCATCTTTATATCCCATGCATGTTTGGGCTTGAAGGTTGATTTAAAAATTAATTTAGAAAAATAAACAGTAGAAAGTATGATATCTAAATGAGAAAGAAATATGCTATAAAAACATCAAAGTTTATGATTTTTAAAAAAATAATATATATGCAATAAATAAATAAAACTTTAGCATTAAAAACAAGGCCCACCTCAAACAATGACTGTAAAATTTTTTGGTTTGGAAGATTAATAAAATTTTATCGTGTGGACCTACCTCATGTGAAAGTATGTGACAGTTTTGCTACAAATTTTGTATAATGAAGTGGAAAAAGGATAAAGAAACAAATTGTCCCTACATATAACTCATGATACATCAAACTTGGATAAAAAAATGGGAAATTCACACAATCTCACACTTCAATCCTCTTTTTCTCCTCTTCATCTTTTAATTTTGTCAAACATAAAAAATAAAAATTGGACAACGTTTGAATGCATGTGAACATGTGGTGGATTTATAGAAAAAAAGGATAAATTACATTCACCTCCCTTTTACACTACCAACCTTGATTTTAGTAAGGTTAAAATCATCAAAACTAATGCAGATGGTGGATGAACACATAACTAAACAAAGGTAAAAATACATTTTAGTAGAAAATATACAACTTTACTTTTTCATTCATACGACTCACAAATTACAAATAAAAAAAAAAAAAAACTAAATGTTTAATGAATTCAAAAATTAGTATAATTATATTAAAAATATAAAATTAACTGTATTTTTTTCAAACCTTAAAAATGTGTGTGTAATTTACGAAAAGGAAAAATTCTAAACTAAAGTGAGAGCGTTCTAATCGTAACTTGTGCACTACAGTTGGAATGTATGTGAAACATGCATGAGTGTGACTCCACGTAGTAAAAGAAAAAAAGATTATTAGAAACGAGAAAAGTCTGTCAATTCTGTCAAAAAAAAAAAATTCTCAGACAGATAACACGAATTATTATAAATGAGGTAATTTTATTATTAATTTAGATTTTTTTCAACATGTGCAATTATTTTTATTATTGAAAAAACAGTAAGATTTGAACATATAATCAATTATTTGATCTCATACCATATTGAATTATTAAATTGTTAATCATTTGCTATCCAAAAATTTAAATTATTAGACAAAAATAAGTAACTTCATAATTTATATTTTGAAAATGAGTTGGATTAGGGTGTTGTCCAGACTCGAGGGACAAATGTGTCTACAAAAATGAATGATAAATATATTTTTAAAAATAATTAAACCATCTAATTTTATTTTTTATTTATTTTTATTTTCTTATGACAGACGTGATGAATTGAATAGTTTATAATTATCAAATTAACCTCATTTTTTTTATATGAATTATATACATGAAGGATTTTGTGAAATGAACCATTCAGATTATCGAAATAAGATCGGTGATAGTAGAGCTACAAATAAGCGGAGCCAAACCGAGTATTTGAGTATTCAAGCTTATTATTAAGAATTAGTCGAACTCGAGCTCAAGTCGAGCTTAAATAATCGAGCTCGAGCTCTGCTTGTCAAATATTTGATGAACTCGAGCTTGGCTTTAGCTCGCTTGATTACATAAATGAGCCGAGCTCGAACTTGAAAAAAAAAAATAATAATAAAAACTTAAATTAGTTTACTTATTAAGATTAAAAAAAATACAAAATTATGAGTAAAATATAAAATAATTTTTATATTAATAATAATTTCATTTACACAAACACCAAACATAAATAGAAAAATAAAATATATTATTGAAAATTTATTTGATATATTATTAAAAATAAATATTAATTTATTTATTTCTATATTTACGAGCTTTATCGAGCTGAGTTTAGGGCTACTTGAGTTCGGCTCAATTAATAAACGAGCCTAAAAGTTGAGTTCAAACTCGTTCATTTAGTAAATGAGGCGAGCTCAAGCTATTCATAAACATCTTGATTCGTTTGCAGCCCTACTCACAGGTTTAGACAACGCCCTTTAGTGTAGATTATGGACTAGAGGGAAACTCAGTCCTACACTTTGAAGTATTACATAGCTTACGTGGAATTCCGAAAACTGAAAAACTACAACACACACGAGTTGTCCGTCATTCTTGATCTCTCAACTACCTAACAAATATGAGTCAATATCCTCAATTGGTAAAAATTTTCCACTACGTCATTGATTGATTTAAAGCATTGCATGAATAATACCACGTAATAAAACTTCATAACTCGAGATGTTTTACCTCCAGCTAGAATATTATGTATCCTTCTTCGCTGTATTCTCCTATATGAGCTAACAATGTCTGGTCATTGTTTCAACCAACCAGTGGCCAGTGGTGATGAGCACATTGTGATCCCAGTGGCTTCAAATTTGGATGATGACTGGCTAGAATCCATAATGAAGGAAGAACGAGAGTCCTCATCCTCATCCTCAAACAACACACCAATGCCAAAGCATAAGAAGATACCCAAGGTCCTCAAGATGCTTCTGCAGATGGAATCCAACAAGGAATGCTACGAACCAGAGGTGGTTTCTATTGGTCCCTACCACCATAACCAAGCCAAGCTCCAATCATTTGAGAAACTAAAAATTCGATTCACAAAAGAGTATGTCAAAAGTTATAAGCCAGAAACCTCGGCAACGGCACTATATAAGCAGGTTGCAGATGCGGCTAGTGAGGCAAGAAACTGCTATGCTGACTCGACAGAAAGCTTCAATGACGGAGCCTTCACTCGAATGTTGTTCCTCGATGGTTGCTTCATCATTCACTACATCAACATTTGCACGAAAAACAAAGAAGAGCAAGACAAAATGAAGATGGAGATGAAGAGTCACGACAAAGCTTTCATGCAACGTGACTTGTTCTTGCTCGAATCTCAATGCTCTGATGATCATGAACTCAACCTTTGAAGGGAATAAAGGATTGAAGTTGATTGAAAAGTTCATTATGACCACAATGGCAAGGCCTCTTGAAGATTCACTTCTAGAGAAGGTGGAAAATTCATGTTACAGACCGGAAAAGAAAGAAGCTACCAGAACCGCAATCACAAGAACCTGCTGATCATCTTCTGGAGCTATTTGGAGGTTTTTTTTGGCTATTTTAGCCACAAAAGACAAAATAGGCTATTTTAGTCACAACAAACAAAATACCACATCCAATCCATAATCATTACACTCTTCTCTCATAAAAAAAAAGCCAAAAAGCCTTTCCCAAATCAAGCTTTTTAGCCCAGGCTAAAATAGCCAAAAAAGCCAACCCACTTCTCAAACGATACCTTATTAACCCCAAGGCTTTCGGAGGAGGAGGAGGCAACAGTTGCTACTCATATCGTTTAGTACAGGAGCTTAAAGCAACAGGGATCCAATTCAGGCCCACCGAAGAAAGCAATTTTTTTACAGATGCAAGGTATGAACCTTAGTTCATTAGAGCAGTCTTAAGACTTCTCCCAATGACCATTGATTACTCAACCAATGCTTTACTATTAAATTGGGCAGCCTATGAGATGTGTCCTGATAGTCCCAATGACTTCG